GAATGTGATCACACAGCACAAACAGGAGAGTGCAGGGCATCAGGCACAGCCACCGGGGGTTCAGGAATGGCACGTCCTGCCTGACCAACCTCATCTCCTTTCATGATCTACTGGGTGGATGAGGGGAGGGCTACGGATATTGTTTATGGGGAGTCCAGTAAAGCCTTTGTCACTGTTTCCCACAGCCTTTTCCGGGAGAAACTGGCTGCTCATGGCCTGGACAGGTGCTCAGTCACTGAGTGGAACACTGAATATCTGGAGCCTGGGAATGGTGGTGAATGGAGTTACATCCAGCTGGTGGCTGTGCACCAGGGGAGTGCCCTGGGGCTCCGTGCTGGGACCAGTCCTGTTTTACATCTTTATCCTGGTTTGGATGAGGGGATTGAGGGCACTCTCAGTCAGTTTGCAGATGACGCCAAGTGAGGCGGGGACTAGGAAAGCTGTAGAGAGGGATTATGGACAGGCTGGATCCGTGGGACAAGGCCATGAAGTTCAATGAGATTGATTGTTAGTCCTGCCTTGGGCCACAACAACACCTGGCAGTGCTACAGGCTGGGGGCAGAGTGGCTGGAAAACTGCTCAGCAGGAAAGGACCTGGGTGTGCTGGTTGACAGTGGCTAAGCACAAGCCAGCTGTGCCTAGGTGGCCAAGAAAGCCAAGGGCATCCTGGCCTGTGTCAGCAACAGTGGGGTAGTGACCATCCGCCCTGTGCTGGGCACCAGTGAGGCCACACCTCAAATGTTGTGTCCAGTTTGGGGCCTCTTACAACCAGGAGGACCTTGAGGGGCTGGAGCATGTCCAGAGAAGGGCAATGAAACTGGTGAAGGTATAGAGAATAAATCCCAAGCAGAGCAGCTGAGGGAGGTGTGAGTGCCCAGCCCGGAGAAAAGGAAGTTGTAGTGGGGTGAGGGTTGGCTTCCTCTCCCACATAACAATGATAGATCAAGAGAAAATGGCTCAAGCTTCACTAGGGAAAGTTCAGGTTGGACATTAGGAAGGATTGTCTCACAGAAAGGGTGATTAAGCATTGGAAAAGGCTGCCCAGGGAGATGGTGGAGTCATCAGCCCTGGAGGTATTCAAGAAACAACTAGACATGGTCCTTAGTGCCAAGGTTTAGCGAGCATGGTGGTGTTCAGTCAAAGGCTGGACTTAACAATCTTGGAGGTCTTTTCTAGCCTTAATGGTTCTATGAGTCTATTTACTTGGCACTTTATTTAGGCTTTATTTTTTATATTCTGTTTTAGTTGGAAGGAAAGACAGAAAGGCAGTTGATTCTGCTGCAGTGAGGAGCAGACAGAAAGGCCAGGCAGTTTTGGGGGACTCCAGGTCTGCAGTAGTAAAGAGGAGTCAGTGTCTGCCCAAGCAGCTTGACAGGCAGAGCTTGAGGACCCCTGTCCCACTGGATCTGTGATGCACGTCAAACGACTGCCACATTTCTGGAGCACAGTGGCCTGGCTGTACCTGCGAGCATCAATGCAATCTCTTCCCCTTCCCACATTACACTTGCACAGCCATGAACAGAAAGGCTTTTAGTATTTTCTAAGATTTCCAGAAGTTTGCTTTTGGTGAATGGATTTGTCCAACACATTGTTGTGAGTTTAGATGTTGCCTGTTGACTGATCATGAATCACTGCTTTGTACTGGCTTGATTTTTTGTGCTATTCTCAGAAATCATTTATGCTCTTGTTAAGTTCACTGAAGGCACATTACAGCAAACTAAGTTTTCTGTGACCATCTTCTTGCCTTCAGTCTCCTGCATCAATCTGCACATCCCAAGGACTGTAGATTGTCAAGTCTTGATGCCAAAGTATTCAAACTCCAGTATGTGTTTTTGTTGCTGTGTCCTTTCTGGAGAAGCTGCTGATAGATGGGTGGGCAGGATGTGGGAGCTGGCAGCCCGGAACCATCAATTATTCATAGTTTAATTTGGCATTTAAACAGTATTTCTCCTGGGTTTCCTCCAATTCTGAAAAGTAATGCTTGAATATTTTCCGGGCACCAGGATTTCGATTTCTGCATGGTCAGTTAACTTGAATTGTAAATCAAGGATTGCTATAGGCACATAACTATAGGCATAAAGCTCTTTCCCCTCTCTGCAGAAATGTTCAGCCTCAAGCCTTCCCACCAAGTCAACATAACTCTGAGGGCTCTTCTACAGGAATAAGCCTTATCCTGTTTTTACAGTATACGAAGATGAGCATAAAAAGGGCTAAGCACTAACTATGGATGTGTGGCATTGGTAGTGTAACTGTCACAGGAAAGACAACTGGAACATTAATAGCTTGTATGTGAAATACAGTTTTATGAAGCTAACTGGACTGGAATTAGTTGCTGCTCTAAACAGACTGGGTATGTGTGTGTGCTTTGCAGGCGAGGTCATATAAGGTAATGGACAATGACATGTCACCTGACTTGCATTATCAGCTGTTGTACAAGGTAACAGAGGGATCTCACAGTCTTCTCCAGTGTCCTCTTTCCTTTGACTCTACAGTTATAAAAGCAAATGTAAGTAAAAAATCAACATACCACAGTACCCTGGAGTTCCACAAACTGTCTTCATGGTCACATGATCTTCCACAATCTTGGAAAGTCCAAAGTCAGCTGTTAAGATGGTTTGGGAATATTAATGTTCTTACTCCCTGTAATAATGTGGGTTTTTATGTTGTATATGTAATTAAGTAAACATTTATACATTAAATGAATGGTCTTGACATTTCCATAGGTAAGCATTGATTTAATGAATCTACCCATGCTGCAATCCAGAAACAAATTTTGCTGTACAAATGGGTATTCCTGTCTCTTGCTTGACAGAAATGTAGCTTGTATTTTATTCTGAAAACTTCACAAAGCCAGTACAGTGAGAGGTCTAAGGGCATACAAGTAGAGATCCAGAAATATATTTAAGTATATATTCAGTTTCTACTCTGTGAGTAATCCAATAAAATTATCAGAACTATTTTGGGTTGCTTTTTTAGTCAAGGGTCAGAGTATGTAGTCTCTGCAAGACGAAATCCCAGCAGTATTTTGATAAAAGCTTCTAGGGGGATAAAGATGGTGATAGAAGAAGTATTGATCATCCTTTCTCCAGTGTTTCCACCCTGAATTACTATTCACAGAGCAAGGGCCTTCGTGACAATACACACTGTACTTGCACGACTCCTCTACAAAAGTAAAAAAAATTGAAGTGTTCAGAATTTCTTTTTTTAACCAAGAATAAACCGAGCTTATTCAAATTCCAGTTTAGGTGATGAAAATCAACTTTGCCTTAAAAGCACAAAATAAAAGTACTTGATTTTATTTTGTTAGACTGAATATAAAAGGGAAAGTTTTGATTCAAGATCAGGATAAAAATAAATCACTTGCTCCTAAATGGCTATCCTTTATGCATTAATATTTATCTGATTAGAAATACAGCTTATTTTTATAAACACAGCCACTGTTTGTAAACGGGATTTCAATTTAAACAATCACCAGGAAGAATCATGGCATTTAGGAAATGCTTCAAAAGCCCTACACACTCTGGATGTCAAACCAAAGCCACTTGTGCTGCATTAAATTATCAAGTTTTGAGACTTTCCAGGAAAGACAAGAAGTAGGATAAGATATGAATTAAGATGACATCACCCTGAGAATCAAGACATTCCTAGAAATTTATGCAGAATTGCTTGAGGCCAGTTCATGGAAATTTGGCTCTAAAAACCCATGATGAACACCAGCCTGATGAACATGGACAAAGTCACTCCTAAGGGAGTACCAGCTGGTATTTTCAAACTCAGAAGGGCTGCACAGATGCTCCTTGTTGTTCAAGCAAAAACAAGGCATGTCCAAAATTTTTGGAGGTCATACCCTTTGGAAGTGTCTGCCATCTCCAACAGAACTGGCACAATATATTCCTGATCAGGAGAGCCTTGTCCCTCCTCACCCTCTCTGTGGTGCTGAGCATGCTTCAGGGAGTTTCTCTGTGCTCTTTGCAAAGAACTCTCCCTGTCTCTCAAATCTGCCTTCAAAACAGAAGTCAGTCTTGCTCAGTTTGTTTTCTACCACTTATCTGCACATTTTTATTTTCACACCAATGCATCTTTTCCTCTGCTACTAGTTTAACAGAAAAAAAAGGGGCATAGAAGTGGTGCACAGAACTTTCTGCTGTTCTCATGATCCTTCTTGTTCCCAGTGCTTTAATCTCAGCCATGTTCCACATGATTTTGGCTATAAATTCTCTAAGCAAGCATCTAGTTTTGCATCGGTTTTGAAACCATCATGTACACCTGTGCTGCTGAAGTAACATGCTGCTCATTATGCTCTGGCTTCAAATAGGGTGGTTGTGAGATGCATATACACCAAATATCAGTTAGAACATATTACTGATGCAAACACATTAGGGAAGTCCTGCTCACCAATTTTTAATGGTGCATCCGGTGCTGGTGTTGCATAGAGTAAATTTTCTGGCTTCAAGTCTCGATGCACAATCCCATTTGCATGCAGATACTAAGAAAAAAGAAAGTCAAAGTATGTAAGTAAGAATGATCAAGCATGAGTTGATATCTTTCTAATTCTCTATAGCAGCAGATTAGTATTTGCTCTGTGTGTGACAGAGTTACTTCACTAATTTTCAGCAGCTCTCTTCTCTGCAAACTTATTCAGCAAAGAATTCTTGGATTCATACAGTAATCTGAATAGGAAAATAAAATTTGGGAAGGCAAAGATAACATCACGTTCATATGAGAACAAAAACATGTTAGAAAGTATCCTTGAATTTTAATACAGCAGTACCTCTTAAGAAGCAGTCTAATAGATGATGAGATGCTAAAGTCTGGCTCAGAGGAAGGTAGTTTCTGCACATTATGACATTCAGAGAGACAGGAAAATGGTCATGTAACTATTAAACCATCAAATAGATGTATTTGAATAGAAAGGATGCAGTAAGTGTCCTGGGCCAAGTACAAAATGCTTGGGGTCCCTTGGTGCAGATTTCTTACAGGTTTTAAAACCACTTAGTTGCAAAGTCCCAAAAATCCATCTGACTCATGAAAGTACATGCAGTACATGTGAATCCACTCACCATTGAATTCCTGCCTTGCACTAATGGAAAAAAAATTCTAGAATATATGGCTGCCACTTATACTGTTATGAACAGAAATAGAAAAATATATAATATACAATATACTGATAGAAAAAAAGGATAAACTAGTGAGAGAAAATCTGTATTTCTTGTTGATAAAATATTCACACAAACCTCTAAAGTCTTAAAAGGGAAATGCTTAAGAGTAGAATCACATTATCTTATTCAAAAGTCTCATTTTAACAGCATCTCTCTCATCTGTGTTTTCCCTACCAAAAACACCTCAGTCTCTGTGTACATTTATGCTGGTTGAATATTAACCTAGATAATACAGCTATAACGTGCACTTGAGTTAGCATCTGAGGTGAATTCTTGACTGTGTATCTCATTATAATTTTAGTTCCTATAAATTGCCAGTAATTAAATAATATTAAGGAGGAATACCTTGCTCTGTCCTTGGGCATTGTTGTAGTGACACTGTTCTTTTCACGTGTGTTTTTCTCGCACTGCAATGTATTCTTTATTGACTTCCCCACAATCCTAAAGTCACAGGATTTGTCATGATGTGGCTTTTAGAGGTCAGCCAAAGACTCTCATCTTACTTCACAGTGAAATAAAAGTGTTTGTTCCAGCTGTTTTCTACAGTGAGATAACTAATCAACTATCCAGGATAAAAACAGTCAACAACATATGGAAACTGATGGATTGTACACTGCTACATCATTTAATGCAGCCACACCTGCATGACAGCAAACAATCACTTCCATACTGCATAAAAATATATCTTCATCATGCCAGACATAACTGTAGCAAAGATGCTCCCACAGCATAGCCGTGATGTGTTTGACATGCAGAGGTGATAACTGAAGTGGACCAAAAGCCATCAGACTGGGGTGGACAGAAAAAGATATCTGAACTGATCTGTGTTCATGTGCTGCAAACCAGTTTAGCTGCCTCAGTAGGAGTGAGAAGGATCAGACATTTCATGATCAGTCAATGGAAAAGAGATACTTCCAATTCATCTGCACAAAAAATCCTTGACCAAATTTGTGCAGAGGAATGTTCCAGCCATGTTTAGAGTCTTTTAGCAGGTCCTTTTTAACACATGCCCATAACCCTAAAACATTTTATGCTGTGAGGCTGAAAACACAGAAAATTTCTCCTCTTTCCAGAAACACATATTTGTGGGAGGGAATTTTGGGAAAAACTTTAGATGAAGCTGTTCAACTTTTCCTCTTTTTTAAGTCTTAAAATGAGACTGGCTTGTGGAGCTCCTTTGCAGACACAGCAAGAACCATAACTGAGAACATCTGCTAACCACACTTGCGCCTCATGACTGACTGATTTTTAAACCAGTTTGTATTGAACTTGGAGTGTGAACTGGTTTTTTTCCTATAAACTCACAAAACCCCAAGTAGGAAAATTTCCCTCCTCTGTCCAGCCCACTATTTGCATAAAACTCACACACGGGGGTGCCCAAGAAATGAAAAATTGCCTCAACAACTTAACCCATGCCTTTCAAAGATTGTCACTGAAATGATCTGAGCTCTCTCTCTTTCATGTGCCCTCATCACAACACCTGCACCTACTCCCTCTTCATCACACCTCCCCTTATCTTCCCACCATCTAATCCAGAATTCCTGCCCAGACATTTTAACTCCTCTGACATCTCTCTGCAGCCCACATAAGTCCAGCCATGGCCACACCCTAAAATCAGTTCTTTCCTTTCTCACTCATTGTTTCTCCTGCCTGACTTCATATTTGGGCTGGAACAAGACATGCATAGCATGGGATGCCCCACGCTGCCAGGTCCTAGGTTTAACAGACCTACTATTGGCAGCTTATATCTTTCATAATACATCAAATTTTTTTGAGTTTTACCAGTAGGGTCAATAGTTTTGTTGTGAACTAGCAGGCAGAAGGGCAACATGGATAAACAAACCCCAAAACCAACCCAACAAAAAAACCCCAGTGGCTTTATGGATACCGATACGCCATTGTTCATGGAAGTACTAGCTAGGCTCCTGGATCCACAGCCCTCTGAGGGGATAGCCAGCTGGCTGGACTTCCATTAAAGGTGTCTGCATCCAAACAGCCTTGTTAATAAAGGTCTCTAGCAGATGCAGTGACCTCCTGTCCTCCAGCCAGAGCCGCCTGTCACTCACTGACAGCGTTTCCTGCTCCACAACCCCTTGCAACACTCATTTTCTGCACTGCTCTCTTACTTAGTTGATACCCTGAGACTGACTTATTTCCAAATTTTCATCAGTCCCAACAGGTCTGCTCCCCATGCATTACAGCTCCTGGTATTGACAGGACTACTACTTGATCTTGTATAAATATGAACAGTATTCTGAGCTAAAATATCTTGGCTTAGAAACAAGTTTAGTTAATTTAGCATCATCCACTTTGTATAACACTTATCTCAATTTATATGTACTATATTTTGATTGCTCTTGCTTTATTTCTCATACACTGATTTTAATAAAAGTTATGTTCCTTGGCATAACTTCAAAGACTTTCCCAGTTTCTAGTACAGAGTTGGGCATTGTGCACTTCCATTGTAAGACAGGTGCTTTACTATTTATATGCTATGCGTCTTAATCATTAAGTTATGTAATCAAATGAGAGGATCTGGGCCCAGGTATCATGCCAGAACTCACTTTATGCCTACGCATTACTGAATTACATAACTTTTCCCACATAAAACTTGGAAAATACTTTATTTCTATGGCTGGATGTAGAGTTTGTAAATGCATAGCACTGCAGAATAGTTTAGCACAGCATGCACATTAAAATGTGATCATGATGTGGTACTCTCACTGTAGCTAAAATATTCAGTTTTCGCTTTCTTCAGATTTTCAATAGAGAATGCCAGCCAGTAAAAACCACAAAGACCTCTCAGGTAATCTGGGAGAAAAATTTTATAACAAAATTGAGCAACACAGTCTTATAACTCTTTGATAAACTTTGAGGTCAGAGTGAGCATGACACTAGGTTATGTTGAGTCTGACATACAGGCTCTTCTCTGCAGGACTTGCTTAAAATGAAGGCAGCCTTCATCTTGGCCTTTATTCCTGGGATACACAATAGCAACTCATGACTGAACAGTTTCCAAGAATTTATCTGTGACTGCAACAGAAAGACATTTTTTCCTTTTTTTTTTCCTTCTCCTCTAAGATTTTATTTTTCCAAAAAGCTCTCTGCTGCACAGAAGTTTTTTTTTGTTCTTTGTTTTGCTGTTTAATAATTCAGGTACAGATCTAACTTGAAAGATTTTATGACAAAAGGACAAATGCAAACTGCTTAAAATTCTGGCCCTATCTCATAATTTTATTTATGGTACCCATTACGCAGAACTGTAGAAAAGTAGGGCTGTAATGAACCTGAATCATCTATTCCTCTCTATGCTCCTTGGCAGCATCAATTACACCTACAACAGTTGTTTGTTCAATTTATTCTTGCAGACCTTTGCTATTAGAGACTCTACAATTTCCCCAAGCAATTTATTACAGGGCTGTGCTTTCCTGACTGTTACAAAGTACTTCCCTGCAACTCACCTCGATTTTTGACGAGAGCAGAGGAAGCCCATTCTTTGTTTCCTATATATGGAAGAGGCAGAAAGTAGATTATCTCCTTTTTTTGCAAGAATACTTTTGAATACTTGTTACCATGTACACAACCATTCTTCCCTCTAAGACTTTTGTTTAGTCAGTATTTTCTAGACTTGTGGTCATTCTTGTTTTCTCCTGCAGGAAAGTGTCAACTTGCACTAATGTGTTGAAAATGCAAAACTGCATTCCAGTAGTTGTGACCTGACAAACTTTACAGAATGTATCAATAAATGTATTTGCCATTTTTTTTCTAACATATACCACTCCTGTCTGCCTTTTGACCCAGTGTAACCTTCAAGTCCTTTCTCTTTTCTTTCCACTGTCCTTGACTGTACAAAAAGGACATTGAATTTTAACAAAGTTATCTTATTCTTAATCCTAGTCTACAACATACTTGCAACTTTCTCCAGTTTTATGGTGAATTTCTATAAGTGGATCTTCTATTCCATCATATGAAGCTACCAACAAAAAACAGCAAAAAAACAGAGCAGGCAAGGCCTCTACTGAACCTCCATGTTTGATCTTCAGATGTGCTCATACACATTCTCTCAGCAGAGACAAGCAGTTTCTAACCAGCTTAAAATCACACAACCTTGACAATATTTGCTAATTTATTGTAAAACTGCCAGATGAGTCAAATACTGAAAGCTTTACTTATGTCAAGTAGGTACAATACCTTCTGCTTCTCCCCCACTAAGTTGTTTGAAAAAAAAGCCAGACTGATTTGGCATGGCTTTATCTGAACAAAATCCTGCCTTACTGGTGACCTCCATGCCTTGTTATTCCCTAGGTGCCCCATATTCTTTTCTTCA